ACAACAGCTTCAACAATAATAACAATTGTAAACGAAATTCCAATAATGTTTTATAGGGTTACACTTTACATGGTAATACTGTTTTCGTCTAATAACTTCTGCAGAAGCGAGATCATTGAGTCTGAGAAAAAATTATAAATTCTTGAGAAGGTTAAAATAGCCTTTTTATTTAAGCATAAGGACACTCTCATGTGCTACAACTTCTACAACTCGTGATGAAGCAAAATGTAATGGACAATCCAAATTAAATAAAACGTTGAACAGTAGTCAAGGACTACATAATTAAATACTACTGGAAGATAAATTACTTACTCTACCAGACCGTCAGAATTAATGACGACAATGAGAGAGCGCAGAGCCGAATAATTACAACTATTAAGAGCTGGTAGAAAACCAGCCACGCTATGCGCGCGTGATGCCAGAAACACTGTCTCTCTCGCTGATATATATTTAATAATTGATTTAGGAACGTAAAATTCCTTAAAATTTAATAAAAAATTTACTACAGTTGCCTGTCAAAATGATCATTTTCCAAAATATGCTAATAGTGGAGCAAGGCATCTTAAGACCAAGCAAAGGGCACGAGAAAAACACTATTGTAAATCAGCCCCCTGTTTCGCAAATATCATTAATTGCTGAGTCAACCCATTCGATTATCTGAATCATATTTGAATATAACTCATCTTTGAAACAAACCATCTCTAGAACATGACAAAGAAAATTTCCATACCTTTTCATGCTGAAATATTGCTTGAAACTTTCATTTCTTGTCTGCTTTCAAGAAAGTAAAACATGTTAATTTCAACTGTCCTTTTATTAATATATGCATAATTTAATAGAATATTAGACTACCTGTTATTAGTACTTTGTTAAGTTTTATAATATTATTTCGAAACAATTATTTTAAAATCTACATGAATTTTTTTTAAATAGCATTACAAATTACCTTGAGTAAAAATACGCAAATTATGAAGCAATATGTTCTTCAGAATGATTTGTTCAGGACTGGAAAGGCTATTTGCTTGCAAATCACGAGACAGTCTGTAAGGTACCAGAAGTGGGTGTAGCTCGACCCACCTAACCAAGCAAGTTCGTTTTTTGGTCATAACAAGGTCATACCCAATATAGTCTAAAGGTATTTTTCTTCCATTCCGCATGGTGGTGTAACAGTAGCACACTCGAAGCGTATTCGAAAGAGCCAGGTTCGAGTTCCGGCGAAGCACTGAACATTCTTCAAATCAGTCTATTTCAAAAAGACATAATAGCCGAGGAAATTGAAGTAATTAAATTTAAGGCGAAACTTTTAAGTATCCCCACTAAAAAAGTAACGCATCAAATTTAGAACAAAATTAAGAAAGCTATAAACCATTATCATCCATCTGGCAAAGTTGTTGATTGCTCTCAATATATTGTTTGATTTCATTTTTCCTTGGTAATAAAAACTTATATACGAAAATATGATTTTTTGGCAGCCCATGGATGATTTTTTAAATTCCTAATGAGCTATTTTGGCCAAAACTTTTGCCACACCTGAACACGCTGCTTAAAAATTAACGCTTAGGCAGGTTAACATTTATTCTGCGAATATGAATATTCTGCTTGGTGAACGATTGACAGGAAAATGTTCAACACACACAATTATGGATCTCATGGAAATTCCCATTCGTAATTGAAAATTCATTGTGTTTATTAAAAGCGACACGGCAATTTTGAAATAGTAAACTATGAAAATATTATCTTTTATAGCAACTGAGACAATAGCTTGAGATTAAGTAAAGAAAATTAATAATCTGTAACAGTCTTGCGTTAATTATTAATTAAATTAATTAAACATACAACGAATGAATTTTATTTTACCTTTTATTTGAAATCTATGAAACATCTTGTTCGAAACTAGCACGTTTATCATGTCCAAAATCTTTTATTCCATCAGTTATGAAACAATACTATATATACCAATTATTTATACTTTCTTGCTTCTGCATGGAATTTAATTAGCTACTCATACTGCTTCTATTCATACTACTTCTTTCTATTAACACTTTGATGTCCATATTTTGGCCACTAGAGAATTTTTTAGTGTGTTTCTTAGCTAGATGTACTCTTTAGCAAGAAGATTTGAGAAGATTTTCAATTTTGTATCAAGTAACTGCTAAAACATTTTATCGATGGTAATGGTTACCACAAAAGTATCAGGTTTCCGTTTCAATTTCTGAGCAAGTCGAGAGCAAACTGGAACAACTCTAGGTATAGGTATTTTGCGACTTCTACAAAAAATGAAGTAAAATTAAAGCCTAAACTTTAATGTCAAATAAATAAATATAAAGTTGAAGTAAAACAAAATAAATAATTTTAAGTAATGAAAATTTTTTATTCATATTTAAGGATTAAAGATGCTTTAAAAAACTCATGACTACCGGATCATATGTAAATGTAGGAAACTGAATAATAAATTTACGAATTTAAATCTTCTGTTGTAACTGATCGTAACTGGTCTTCCAGTAGGCTAAACCAGATCCATGAGTCCAAGATCCGTCAAAACGAAGGCAGGTCTTTTCATTAGGTTCTCTTACATAAGTCCCAAATAGGTGAGAAGATGCTCAGGAGTGAAATGATCAGTATTACATTTCGCACAGATGGGGTAGATCTTATTTCCCAGGGCAAATTGAAGGCATTTCAGGTGTCCACTTAGAAGCTACGTCAAAGAAGTGTAAGTAGGTGCTTTTAGGAAGTTAAAGTCTTAATTTCCGAATTAAGCAAATTTTGCGGCTTATATCTTATTTCTTTTAAGAACCTTATACTTGATGCTAATTTAAGAATTATAATTAAAAAGAACAATCAGATAGTATGCGTCCAATAAAATAAATATTTTCCTGTGATGTTAATACAGGGTTATCCAAATTAAACTTCCCCAACTCAGAGGGCTGTGCAGAGTGTTGTATGGGTCATAAAGTGATGAAATTTTAAAAACAGACACTTCAGATCATTCGCTCGAGATTTATTAAACAAAAACAATTAGTACAAGAAGTTGCCGATAGGTGGCGCTGCAGATCAACAAGACATTCTACAGATGTTCTATATGTGTATTGTGGTTCTCCGCAACTCTTTCCATTCGCAAAGCAGTGTGTTCCCCAGCGGAACGCAGTAAGTCCACATTAATTCCACGAACATGTCGAATAATTGCGTCTTTCAGATGTGCCAAGGTTGCTGGGGTGTTCTCGGTAGACCCGATCCTTTAAGAATCCACATAACCAAAAGTCGCATGGCGTGAGATCAGGCGAGCGGGGAGGCCAAGCTGTAGGGAAACAGCGGCTGATTACACGTGCATCGGTAAAAGTTGCCCATAACACCTGTTGAACGCCACGAAGAACATGGGGAGGTGCACCATCCTGCATAAATATCGTGTCCTGGAGGCGGCCACGTTGTTGCAGTTCAGGGATCACAAACGTTGTCAACATGTCCTGATACCTTTTCCTGTGACAGAGCAGGTTTTGAACCCTGTTGGAGTCACCTCTTCAAAAAAATAAGGCCGAATGACGAATGTTGCAGTGAAACCGCACCATACAGTAACCTTTGGAGGGTTCAAGGGCACTTGATGGATAGCGCGCGGGTTTTCACTTGCCCAATGCGGCAGTTATGCGTATTCACTTGACCATTCAGATGAAAATCGGCCTCATCCGTACAAAGGATGTTCCACGGCCAAGCAGCAACGACTTCCATTCTGGAAAGGAACTGCAACGCAAATGTTTCCCGAACTACAGGATCCCCGTCGGACAGCTGATGACGACTATGGATTTTGTAAGGAAAATAACCGAGGATTCGACGCATCACACGCCAGGCGGTCGTATAGGGCATATCAACAGCACGAGAAACAGTTGGCACACTGACAACACCATGTGGCGATTGGCTAGTGGGGTCCACGACCGCCAAAGCAACGTCTTCTATGCGTGCAGATTCCACAACCTGTCGTCCTCTACCTGGTAAAATTCCCAGCTGTCCCGTTCTTTTGAACTTCTTCATCATGTCTCGTAGAGCGCATTGGTGTCATTGGTCCTCGGCGTAAGATCTTCAGCCGACGGAATGCTCTTATCGTAGCACAGCACAGAAGTTCTCGTCATTCTGGTAGAAAAGTTTCACTAACAGAGCTTTGTCTTTCAAAGTCGCCATTGTGCATCAGCGAGCTGGAAACAACTGCCTGTGCAAGGCCTGTCTTCCACTTTTGTAGGGCTCGTCTTTTGGATACGTTGCGCAGAAGCTTTATTTCTGCAAATCACGTTGCTGCAATATGCACATTACTAGTGTACTACGCGCTCACCTTATCGGCATACTTCAGTAAGTAGACTAATTTTTTTGTGTAATAAATCTCGAGCGCATGATCTGAAGTGTCTGTTTTTAAAATTTCATCACATTATGACCCATACAACACTCTGCATAGGCCTCTGAGTTGGGGAAGTTTAATTTGGATAACCCTGTAGATTCAAACTCCGTTTCAGTAATGCATAACTATTCAATAGCATAATAAATATTTTTACACCGCATACAGAAAAACAGCACGGTATAAAACAAAAGTTATACATAAGGACTGTTAGACTTAAAGTTAGCTATCAAACTCCATTAATCAGTGCTATTTATTTTAGATAATATGCATACATATTATACAGCATAAAATATACATACTCCATATCATACAGATTAAAATATACGCATATATTTTATACAGAGAGTATTAATTTTCATTTTTTCTTACAATTAATTAATTTGTTGATCTCGGTCATACAGTATTATTAATAGTCGCGTTAAGAAAAATTAGGTTATGAGAATAAAAAGAATATATTTCCACAGTTTATAGCTCTAAAAGTATAAGAATTGTTAGTCTGAAAGTTGATGCTAATATTGTCAAGATGCTATTTATTTTAGCTATCAGGTGTAGAGTCTTAATCAAGTATCCTTTGAAAGCGAGCTTATTGCTGGCTAAGGTTTTTTTTAATGAAATTCAGATATTTGAATACATTTAAAGATATAATGATCTGCATCTCATGTTCCCCATATACACTAATTTCTGTAAAGGAAATATTTATCGCATGATTCCTGTCTCGAAGATTACAATTTTTTCCCATTTAAATATTTAAATAACGTTTTTTTCTGGTTATATTTTTAAGCTGGTATCTAAAAAGCCTATAATTTATAACGCAGTATTACATCAAAAATTATATTTTTAAGAATTCAAAACGTTAATATAAAAAAATATATTTCTGTGTGAAAATGTTGCGAATTTTAAACTGATGAATTAACTGTAATGTTAAAAATGCTTCCATTTGCTAATTTTATTTACATGTGAGGAATACGTGTGAACCAGAAATTTACAAAACAAACATGCATTATGTTTATATTACTCTTCAACATAAAAAATACAATTTGGGTAAATTAAGGTTCTTTTAAAGCTCTTAACACCAAAGATCTTTCACTGAAAGCATCGTAATGTTCTTTCCCCTCAGTTCAGGTGGTTCTGAACATAGTCCTAGGGTCAAAAGCGGAAATTTTCTCTGCATCATCCAAGACATTCTGCAATCACATCGAAGATCGTTGTCTAGAAATGAGAAAAACAAAATTTTGCACCCTGATATTATGAAATTTCCAGTTACAGTATTATTTAATATTTTCAACATTGCACATACATTTTACAACTATAAATCTTTATTAATTTTATAGTGTCACGTGATAATCTATATACTAATATATACAAAGTAATTCATATTCATTTTAATAAAAGAATTTATATTCATTTTTAATAAGTCATCAAGTCATCAAAAATTTTCTTCATATACCCAATATATCTTTTCTTACTAAGCTGATCATGCTTTACAAATCTGCACACAAATGTTTTCCTGACGTCTCATATTTTCTGGGCTAGCTGATATCTGAAATTGCCGATAAACAGCACTGCAACTAGCCTCGTTTAGTAAAGGATAGTTCTTTTAATATTGGTAAGATAATACAGTCACAGCTGTAGCGGGCTCTGTTGTCCAGTTATTTATATACGAATGGAATTTCTTGTTTGCTTCGTATATTTCTGGATAAATTGTTGATTTTTTGTTATGTCTTTAATTTTAGATATCTGTACCCAAGGTCATTTGGATTAACATTTTTACCTCATAACCGCAACCATAAAATTATTTATGAAGAACTCCATACGAAAAAATTAGTTTGTTGCTGAGTTCCACCTAAATAAAATACCAAAATATGAAGCATATCAGAATTAGTAAAGCAACCTAAAATTACTTAATCATGAAAGACACCGCATTAACTAATGATGAAACCGACTTCACATTTTTTGACGTTCCAACACATCAAGAAAGCAAAGAATGGTTCTTTGAAGATGATTCCAATGTAATAACGGTAAAAAGATAACTAACAATGAAAAACGTAATGTATACTGTTTTCTTGAGAAGTTCAGAACTGGTAAAAGCTAGGGGTACAAAAGATTTATTTTTATTTTACAAATGCCAAACATTAGCCCATAAGCCATTAGACCATGGGCTCTCCATTATTTTTTAACAATGTCCATATACTGAGAAAGTGCAATACAATTATTTAGACGTTCAAAAATCATAGGCTGCTTGGAGTCATACAAAATATAGTTTGGGGAATCCACCACTCCAGTTCTATAGAAGTGGTCTCTCAAACAGTCATATCCGGTCAGACGTCTAAATAGAGCTACCGCTGTCTTTCTTCGAAAACTGGGAATGAAAGTTGTCTCTTTCCCCAGAATCCTCCAATTCTTATCCATAGCACATTCAATCATATCCTGCTTAAGAATTTTCTTGAGAGTCAGGTTAACAAACTTCGTTTCGTATCAGGAGAAAAGGAACGTACAGGAGATAATTACAGCTGAATTATTCACCACTAAGTGCCTTCCAGAAATTTTGTAAGAGGTTAAAATTAGGTTAAAATTTCTAATTCTGCCTCCATTCATATGAAAATTTAATATTTTTAAAAGTTTGATCATACTGTGATCAAACGAAAAGAAATCAAACGCAAGCAGAATTAAAGAGTCTTAGATACACAGCATAACAGCAGAATTAGCAATCCTTAGATGCACATCAATATGACACAGCCCAGATGTTTTTGTGTAATTTCATCCATCATTGCTCGCACATTTGGGCAAATTGTTTGTGAGTAATTTAGTTAATTTTTTGCTTTTGTGATACCGACTGTAAAATCTTCAAACAACATTACATTTTATCCTGTTTTATTCTCCTTTATGAAATTTATTAATTTTGTTTAATATACCGAAAGTCCAAATCTTAGACTATTTTAAAATATCAACTCTCTGTTTTAACCTCAACTCTCTGTTTTTAAAGATTGCAACCTGAAAACGCTTTCCAAGTCTTTCGTGGTTTTCTTCCATGTGTAACGAGTATACGAGCCAGTTTCCCTTAGAAGTCTTCCACGAATTCATTCTTCCCCTTAGGCAGATAGCCCTAATGTGCTTTGTCATAATTAACCACACCAACGCTTTCCAAGTCTATTTTTAAAATTATAAAAATTATATAGAAATTTAACTATCCATTTTCAAAACAACATATATTCAACGGAAAGCTGAGGAAGATTCAAAGTTTGAAATTACATCATAGTGGAAAATTATAAATTATTTTATAAAGCTTAGGCTTATCTACATTTCCTAACGATGAGCACTAATATTGTAGGTGTGCAAGGCTTTTATTCTGTGAAGGAGCTATGGGTTAGTTCTAAGAGGGATAAGTTGTAACAGTGTTTTCGATAATTTTGATCAGAAGTTTCACTGAACATGACTTTCATGAATATAAGCACAATCTACCCCCCCCGAAAAGGATAGTGTGAGATTATGATCCGTCTTAGCTAGTAGGTAAACGCTATAGCTAAAGTAGCGTCTTAGCTAGTGGACTAAGCTAGCGTCTTAGCTAAACTAACATTCAGCTACTAGCTATAGCTAGTTTTAGCTAGTAGGTAAACCTATAGCTATAGTAAATGCTTTCATTTGGTTACGTTAGCTGCAGTTCTGATGAAGACTGACATTTTCGATTGATTAAATAAAATTTTGTCTTCATTTTACTAGAAATCACTTGAATCATTCTTTGCTAGTATACGAAGTAGTAATAATTACCAATTTTTTTGTACTTTAAATAATAAAAGAATGGTAATGAAATATTATTTAGAAAATTTTTCGTTTTTTCTGTCAAATTTGCATTATGTCTGCTACAATTTGCTCTCGCTCCAGGGCAAGTTTTAACTATAGAAGCAGAAAAATTTTATAAATTTTGATTTAAAGTAAGTTAAGTAATCTTTTAAAAAGTGGTTTTACCTTCGTGCTATACGTTAGAAAAATGCTGCTTTAATGGGTTTTTGTTACCAATCGCAATATTTTTGTACTAACTGTAATTATTGTAAATCAACAAAAGTGTCTAAAACCATACAATGCGGCAAATTGCAACAAAATCTCGGCGGTAATTGTAACATGTTACAACTTGCCTCGAGCTTTTGATTCGTATAATTAGACTTTCTGCTACCTCAGAGAGTATTGAATTGTAATCTTATGTGTCACTTGCTAAAGTTTTGTTCATAAGTACTGTTTTCACACAGATGTAACCATTTTTAATATCTATGTTTTGCAACACTAATCAATGTGCCCTATGAGTGGATCTCGTGTGGCTTTAACATGAGTCAACTTTAGATAAGGGTGGACGTGGCGCTAAACCAACTAACCATAATGGTAAAGGGGTGGTGCCCACGTCCTCCGTCACTAAAACTACCTCAGAGACAGACTAGAGAGACCGATAAAGGAAATCTGCCATCCGAACTGACACATCTGAAACAGAAATATTGAAAAAAAAAACTATGAAGAGATAATTAATAAAAAATGAAGACAAGCAGAGAAGATTTAGGAAAAAGTAAAGGTAATACAGAAAACAAAATCATAAAAAAAGGTTGAAAAAAAGGATTATGAACTCTTTTGAAACAGAGAAGTGATTCTGAAACAGAAAAGTGATTTTGCTTAACTTAGGAAGATGTCTATGGCAACTGTGATAAAGAAGGATGGGAGCAATGCCTACACAGGTTAAATGCGAGAGAGAAATGTTGCCATTTGGTTGTGTTAGCTACAGTTCTGATGAAGAAACTTGAATCATTCTTTGCGAATATACCAAGTAGTAACAATTATAGATTTTTTTGTACTTTTATTAATAAAAGAATGGTAACGAAAAATTATTTAGGAAATTTTTTCGTTTTTCTGTCACTATTTGCATCATGTCTGTTACAATTTGCTCTCGCTCCAGGGCAAGTTTTAACAATCGAATGAATGGTTTTGAAAAGATATTTTTTATGCTAAAAATCAAAAATATTGTCCGATTTAGCTCCTCTGTTACATTAAAAATAATGGAAAGACTACTAAGAAATATTTAAATGATTTTGCATGAGATAGTTAATTAGGAAGCTGAAGAGATAGCGTAGTCTGAGAACTATTGATGACGAAATTAGTATTGCCTCTGCATTGCATCATTATCATTGCGATTTTCAGAAAGATCTATGCAAGTGTTCGAGCACTGGTTATCGTAACGCACAATCAACAGTTCTTATTGACGACAGCTTCGCAATCTTACATACTTTGAAAACCCACGCGAGACAGCTGAAGCAGTTCCAGACCAATTCAGAGGAACCATGAGCACTAGATGTCGGGGATAATTGCGTCTAAATGACTGTAAAGATAGTTTGTTTTTCAAATAGTCTTTAAAAGGCGTCCTTTTAGTCCCTGACACTCAGCGACCCGCATACAGTGGTACAGTAAATGCAAAGACAATGAAGTAACAATGCACACATTGTGTAACATCAGCATAATGAAGTAAGCTACTGCGAAAATGCGTAAAAAATAAATCATTATTTGACAACTTTCGGCAGTACTCATTGTATTTGGAGGAATATCAGATTACAGTTGGCAACCGCCAATCATTTTAACTGTGCATATCTTGTGCGTAACATTGCGAGATTTTCGTACATTGAAGTGGTTTTTAAATACACTGCTGGCCACCGTAAATGCAACACCCTGAAGGAAGCATGCAAATCACATGAAATTTACAACATGCATTAGCGGAGGTGAGATTTGCAAATGATTAGAATTTTAGCGCAGACGCACATCAAGCGCGCATGTGGCACCACTTCAAAGCGCTATTTAAAGCTTAGAGTTTTCGAGGATTTTAAAATCGGCAATTATGTTTTTCTTGTGGTTTTTTTTCAAAAATACGATTAATTATGCCTCGTAGTAAACAGCGATCATTGTTCTATCAAATATCCGAGTTCGACAGAGGAAGGATAGTGGTCTACCGAGAGTGAGGATTATCTTTCAGGGAAATCGGTAGTCGTGTTGGACGAAACCAAACAACTGTAATGCGGATATGTGACCGTTGGATGCAGGAGAGTACGATGGACCGACGTGTTCGATTGCATCCACCTCAGTGCACCACTTCACGTGATGACAGCAACATTGTGCGCATGGCAGTGACGGATCGCTCAGTCACATCACGAACCATAGCAGAGCACATTCAGTCTGTAACGCCTCATACAGTGTCTGCGTACCATTCGACGCCGTTTACAGCAGAGTGGTCTGTCCGCAAGACGTCCATTGCTCGTCTACCCTTGACGCAGAACCACAGACGTCTCTGCCGCCAATGGGGCGATGAAAGAAGGATGTGGACGGCAGAATGGAATGAAATTGTCTTTACTGACGAGTCACGCTTCTGTCTGCAACACCACGATGGTCGGATTCGAGTCTGGAGACACCGTGGAGAGAGGATGCTGAACAGCTGCGTTATGCACCTCCAGACTGGTCCTGCACCGGGTATTATGGTATGGGGCGGTATTGGATATCACTCTCGCACTCCTCTAATATGCATTGCCGGTACTTTAAACAGTCAGCGCAACATCTACGAGGTTTTGGAGCCAGTTGTTCTTCCTTACCTTCAGGGTTTGCCCACAGCCATATTTCAAAAGGATAATGCGCGACCACACGTGGCACGCATTGTCCAAGGGTTTCTTCGTCAATCGCCAGATCGAATTGCTTCCCGGCCGGCTCGCTCTCCGGATCTTTCGTCGATAGAAAACATGTGGTCCATGGTTGCTGAACGACTGACCCAGATTACATCGCAAGCTGCCACACCAGGTCAACTTTGGCAACATGTGGAAGCTACTTGGTCTGCTGTACCCCAAGAACACATCCGAAGTCTCTTTGAATCAATGCCGAGGCGTGTGGCAGAGGTGATCTCCAACAATGGCGGCTAATCTGGCTACTGATTCTGGAAGGAACCACACTTCATAGAAGTCTATAAATTTAATCATTTGATACTTGATCAACATGTTATCTACTAAATATATTTTGTTGTGATATCTCTAGTCTTTCTTGGTGTTGCAATTTGGGTGGCCAGCAGTGTAATTAAATTATTTTGTCAGCGTAAAAAGTAAATATGTAATCCGCATTACTGTTTTCTAAAGACAGTAAATTAGTATCAACGATAGTGTGAATCTGGAAGAGGATGGCACATAGTATTATTTTATCACTTCATAAATAATACTGAAATGATTGAAATGTGTTGTCGTTTGATAAGGCATTATGCTGTATAGGAAACGAAAGCTGCAGAATAAATAGAAGCCATAACTGTAACCGAGAACAATGATGAGATAATCTTTGCCATTATCCTCGAATTATCCATTATACGACATCCAGTTGCGCTACAGCTAGTAACGTGCTGTTGGTAGCTTGTATGGCTAGTCTGCTTTTTACCCAATCTAAGTCCTGTTGGGTACACTGGGAATATTTTAGCATATATCTAATAACAAATTCATATCCTCCAGCAACTGATCAACAGATGAAAAAGGTGCTGAAATAAGAATGAGCAGAGACACTCGAAGAACTTATCAACCACAGCATTCTAAGCATACAGGTGACATGGAAAATATGCATCGCTGTTCGAAGTGATCATACTTTCTGCTGAAGGCCTGCTGGAAATCATACTCCCAGCTGATGCTTTAATTATATTTTTCCCCGTGACTCTTCTCTCTCATTGCTACCATACCAGAACAGACTTCTCTATCACTGAAATCAGATCAATCTGAATAAAATACTTCTTGTATTTTGTACCAGTTTTTGCTACTGTTCTGTTTTTTCGTCACTTTAACGTCGCGCGAAGTAACATATGCATGATTTCTCAATATGCAGCCTATGTCAATTTAAAATTTCCAAGTGAAACTTGATTCATTCTCAGTTTTGCATAGCACTGTGTTTAGCGTATCGTAAAGGATTTTGTTTTCTAAGGGTCGTGGATTTTTCAAAAGTGTGCAAAATGTATTCAACACATTCCTTAATCTGTTCAGATGAAATTTAATTAAATTCATGTGTGAAATATTTCAAGTCACTGCCCAATTTTCTAATAAATAGTTAGAAATAAAACTTGAAACTATACCAACTAACACAAGTTTCACTGCACTTCAAAAAAGAAAAAAAAAAGAACATTACTGCAATATTCAGCAGAAAAAATCTTACGAAACATTGTCAGTTCTGTTGAAAACCGGGCATAAGTCTTTCTCTCAAACTTTTTCATGTGGGAAAACTGAACACTTAACTATAAAACTTAAGCCAAATTACTAAATTCATGATAATAGTTTTGATAAGTATACTTTTAGACTGTACACATTTTCAGCAAAGCTATATGCCACAATTTATGTATGTGTTCATATTTCATACTTAGTTAAGAAAATTATTATTTTGCATTGAAGAGTACAAAAATGGAACCGAATTTTTTTCAGATACTTCAGCATGTAATTTGTGTAAAAACTACTGAACACTTTTAGATTTTTAGAAACATTTCAAAACTTTGATTTAAGAAATGTTAAACGATATCGCCGGCTAAAGCAGAGAAAATCACACTTAAACGTTTGACTCTAAAACTGAGTAGTTATATATTATGTATTTACAAGTCTTTGTCATATATAGAATTTTATTAACCTTTTGGTAAAAGGAAGAAACCAAATTTACTTACCATTTATGTCTATAAAGAATAACTGACTCCAAACTGATGCAAATACTTTCTCGTCTAAAGTCAGAAGACGGTTATTCTTTATATGAAAAGCAGTAAGCCTTGGCATATTGTCAAACATATCAGTCGGAAGTGCTTGAATTCGGTTTTGTCTGCAAAGAGTTACACGCAAATCGTTTAATGTTTAAGTTCATGATTTTAAATTGCATTGCACTACAGACAATGTCTGATTGTCTTGAAAGGACAATTATAATTTTAGTTTAACCCTAATACTTTGTAATTTCATTCTGCTGAATTAAGGAATATTAAAGAATAATTTCAAATCATAATAAATGAATTTCAAATATATTGCAGTTAATTTAAATTTTTAATTCGTAAGTCAAAACAATGCTACTTAAAAAAGCTGCACTTATATGAAGTAGATTCTATGATGATTTGCCACTTATGGCCACATATTCGATATTATTCGAGGAAGGCATACTTCTGAATTTTTATGTATGTCATATTTATTCTTATAATGTTTCTTTCTCTATTCATAATTTGAATGTAAGAGCCGGCTTGCATTTCAGTAGCAAACAGTTATTATGCGCTAGTGCAAATAGATTGTTGTCATCACTACAGAATAATTTTACAGCTGAAAAAGAGTGATTACATATTCCCTATGAGTTCAGTTTCATTGATAATAAATCAGTTCAGTTTCATTGATAATTTCCTTTATAAATAAATATATACAGTGGGTGATCGGTTAACGAACATAATCTATTACAAGAATATGTTCGCTAACCGAATTGTTCTTTAACCGATCATCCATTTACCATAGATTTTTTTTGTGAAATCGATTAATTCGTTCTGGAGAGCCTAAAAATTAAATTAAAAAAAGGATGTATAATTCCTTAGTAAGTTTATTAAAAAATAATACATACAGTCTTGCATATTAATCATTCCTTTTCATTTTTTCTTTATGGGTCGTTGAAGAACATGTCCAATGCCGATTGCTTTTCTCTCTTTTTCAGGATTTTCCGGAAGTGATTAATAGCATTGTCGTTGTAAAGATTTCCAACCCTACTGACATTGGTTTCGGTTTTGAATGAGATCAAAACCGAAACTGATGGTCTACTTTGGCTATAATTTTTTTCCAATAAAAAATTTCCAATAATTTTTTTTTCCAATAGAACTTTAAAGTTTAATAGGCAAGCAACATAATTCAGGAGAGATGAAAAACGATGTTTGGTCCGTTGGGTTTGGCAACTCTGCACATTATGCTCCGAGAGCCGAGAAGTGTTCTTTATAATTCGTTTTAATTCGTTATCCGAATATGTGTTCGTTGTTTGAACACAAAAATCTTTCTTAAAAGTGTTCGTTGTCCGATTTGTTCGCAGTCCGAACATTTCGTTAACCGATCACCCACTGTATTCTTGTTTATATCACTGACGTTTTGAATAAGTGTTTCTGAAATTTAATGCACATTTTCTATCTAACATTTTTATGTAAATAACACTATTTTTGTATATGTTTTAATTCCTCCCATAACTTTTAATTATTTCTTCCGCCATTCCTAATGTCATTTTTTTCTGCCCATTATGTCATGCTTGCTTATGTGAGCAACATATATAAAGCATATGTAAGTGTATAATTTATATATGTTGCAATTCTTCACATTTACGAGGCTTTCTTCAGTTTACCACATTTAAAATTTAGCACTTTGCCAATCTCTAATTTGTGTACTGACCATCATTTTGAGTAATTTTCTGAGGATACACCGCATAGTCAAGTCTCCGAAGATTTTGAGTTACAATTTTTGTAATTCCTTTCGCCTGCTATTTTAAATATTACTTTATGCAATATACATAAAGGAATGCATTCGAAAATACCTGTTTTCAAAACCTATTTATTTATTCGATTTTAATATTTATTATTTTTATTCGCTGCTTTTCTTAGAAATCGCAAATTAAAATAACCCAATAGCTTGTAAAAATATTTGAATTTAAAATTTTTTAATTTTTGATAAAAGTTGAATTTTTATAGCCCTTTACAAAGTACCATTATTCATGCGCTTATTTACTAAGCATTTACTGTGTTAAGCATTCAAAATCATAACCACACAGGTTTACTCTCCGTTTTATCTAATCAGTAAGATTTACAACAGTCATTCAGGATCCTAAGAAAAACTAATATATATTATATTACTGCAATACTCAATTAAACCTGCGTTTCGCAATGCGCTTTTTCTCATGTTACTGCAGTCTTTTAGTTGCTATAAGCCCTTCGACTTCTGATATTCCCTCCCAGATGATTTTATAAGATATACCTTTTAAGCAAAATACGTTTCCAGATTGATTGTCTGATGACAGAAATTCAATCAAAAATTTATTATTGTTCAATCAAAAATAAGGTCAATTAAATTAAACCCGATCAACTAAAAACTCATTACAAATCTAAAATTAAATTCCTGTTGTACTGAATGAAAATTATCATTCATTTTATCCATTAGACATTTGTTACTATAGTTGTAAAATTTCGAAAATTAATCATATATGCATTCATTTGTGTATAAAAACAATTAATGCAAAATTTAAATGTATGTGATTTTGAAAATGCAAATATGTTTTACATTCATTGGAAGTGTGTCCACCAGCGGCCGAGCGATAAAGTCGCTGAACACTGGTAGTTCGGTCCGAGGCTCGAATCCCGCAAACGGGTTGGCTGCATGGGCGTTTTCGTGGTTTTCCGCATGTGTAACGTGTATACGAGCCAGTTCCCTTAGAACGTCCTCCACGAAAGCATCCCTCCCCTTAGCCCTCGAGGCTTTGCCATAATCACAAACACACACATTCATTGTAAATGAAATCTAATCTAATTGTTAAAAATTTAAAACAAGTATTTTCCTACTCCTTACAAATATTATTGGCTATATGAAACTCAAGATTAAGCGAAAAAAATTATAAATCTCTAATTAAAAAGGCATTTCACATTGTTCCTAGAACTCCTTGTACTGTTTTCACAAATAATATTGTAATCATTTACATTTATTCTATAATACAATTGATGTCTTTAAATCATTTCTTCTTTAAACAAATTCATTACAGTAATTTATAATAATCTAAATTATGCAAGCAATTTAAACAGCATGTAACGTAAAAAACTTACGTGAAATTCATAATACGAAGTTGGGAAGCAGGATTAGGGAACATATTTCTCTTCACTTCCTTGATTTCATTCTCCCCCAAGACAAGAGACTCTAAATTTTTAAAATTTTCAAAAGCTTGATCTGAAATCCATGAAATCTCATTCTTTGAAAAATCAACATTTCTAAGAAAACTGAGACTGTCGATGTCTTTTTCTATCGAAGGAAGTGATATTTCTCTTACTTTTAAGTGGTTCATTTTAGTGAGGCTTTTTAATTTAGACCAATGCCACGATCCCATGAAAATGTTTTTAATCAATGTTAGAGACTCTAAAGTCTTTTCCATCCCAACAAGTGCTTGTTCTGTATCACTCAATGAAAACAGTGTAGATTCTTGCACTTCTATTATTTTGATAAAAGTTCCTTCAAAAGCTGATTGAGGAATGTAATTTAATACGGAATTTAAGATTACAAAGCTTAATATATTCGGCCTATGTTTGCAAGCTGCAGCAGCATTTTTCAGATCAATTTCATTATGCAAACCGTCACAAATGATATCCACCGTATAAGAACTTCCCCAATGCTTCTTGCAAACGCACGGATATAAAGCTTCTTCCGGTGGACAACATAATGCCACAGTCAAAACTGCATTCAAAATAATAGCAGTATACTTCATAGTTTTGCACTGACTAAACAAACCACTTTCTTTACAGACCTATCGATTTGAATATTATCTTATCTTTATTGAGTTCAGAGTGAGAAATACGAACATCTGCATGAGAAATTTGCAACAAGTAGTTTTTTTATTACTCACTTATCTCTAATAAGCTATTCTTTCATTTTATTCAAATCATTTTATTTTTTACATTTTTTACATGTAAAATCTTAAGAGCAGCATGCATCATTCGCTTTATCTAATTTTATAAAGTAGTTTTAGAAAATAAAAACTACTTGAAAATTTTGAAGTATCTAAATCGCTGGCAGATGCAGATAATGCAATCTTGTTTCATATTTTTTCTCCTTCTAAATAAACTTCATTGCGTTGCAACTCTTTCTTGAATTCATCGCAAAATAAGTTTTCAGTTGCACCTAGAGTCGTGATTCCATGGCTTTTTTGACATCACATAGAAATAATCGTGACGGAAGAATTATTTTCTATAAATCCAGATGCATAATTATTGGAAATATTCTAAATGATTTCAGAATGCTGGCAATATTTACAGCTACCATGAAAGGCGTACGAAAGACGAATGATTGTTAAGATAAGAATTTTTTCCACTTTTTGCATTATTCACTTACAGTCCTATCCCAAAACTGTAGTATTGTCACTCTTTATCGTTTTCTTGATATTTCTCTAGGAAGGATATACTTATCCAGAAATAGCAGGATTTTTTTCGACAAAATATTGAGATTTCTTAACAAGAGTAGATATTGTAAGGATCTTAAGTTTTACTAACGTTTATTTTATTTTAAATCTTTACTATCACTTCTTATTTTCTACTTCCGGCCAGATTATAGCGTTAATGTATTATGCAAAGTTTGTCGGCGAACGCCAAGTACTTAAGTTGTGGCTTTTCCCAAGCGAGAGAGAGGAAAGCATTATCGAAGCAGGCCGCTTACCTTAGAAGTTTTACTCAGTTGCTGGTTGCCTTCCAGGCCAAGTTTAATCCTCTTGATAATTTTAAACGTATTGTAGTGTTCACACAGTTCTCTGTACTACATACGCTTCCTGTTATATAAAGGCCAATCTTCCACGTTTTTATTTTAAAGTTAATTAGAGTTTTAGTTTTTATTTTTATTTTTTACGTTTAGACCCACAAGTAGTGGGTCTTTTGTATTCCGAAGTACGGAAGTTATTGTAAATAGAGAAAATAAAGGGTTTTGTATACCCTTCTTGTGTATCCTGTCTACTTCCCACAGTTATTGAACATATCTTTAGTAAGCTCTCTGTTCCGAGTCAGGTCCTTGCATGTTCCCGAAGAAAGTAAGACGGAACTTTGAACCTGATAATATGATCTGGCATTCTGAAGATTATTTATTGCATTAGAACTCATAACTTCCACCTTATGTACACAGAAGACACCTTCAGCGTCATTTGCTGGAAGAAAAGTGTTTTTGCATACGCATCATCTCATAATTCATATTCAACATCCTTGAAAATCACAGAGTACATAATTAAGAACCACTTTGACAATTAAATTATATAGCCACCTTGACCACAAATTTTTAACAATTTAGAGGTTGCGAAATATCTGTCAGGATATTTCGCAAGTCAGGATATTTCGCAAGTCGTTGAAAATTCACGAATCGTAACTTAACGAGGCTTTACATGTAACTGAGTATCAAAAGAATAATCCATAGTCAGTTATCTCGATATAACGATTTTGTATTAAAGTAATAAAATAAATCTTGATGCCTTTAAACCTCTGATATTAAAATTTTTATTTGCCTTTGCTTTGGACATGTTATTTTCCATTTTTCTATGCCCGCTCAACGCTAAGCTTGATTGGCTTATTTATTGTGAACTTGCATTTGAGGGCATCATAAGCTAATTAATGTCTATGCAAACTGCAACACTGAACAAGCTTAATTTTCAATCTTTTTAAAGAACTTTCATCCTTTCTTAAAGTAGAAATTTGATTTGTAGAAGTAGATACCAAAGTTTCGAATTAAGAATAGAAAAAGAACCCAAGAGTTGTATCGGTTGAATTTATGGAATATTTTCCAAAATATTCGAATCAAAACCTTAAGCTCTATTCATTATAATAAATGAAATAATTCAAGTCCTTCTTCCACTTTTCTTTTAGATCTCTAAAGCAGACTTGTACTTCTTTACTTCTTTTAGATCTCTAAAGTAGACTTGTACTTCTTTACTTACAAGAAAATGAAAAATTCCAAATTCTGTTGTCATTATTAGCCCAGAAGGGCTATTAATTTCTTTTCAGCATTTTGCGTTGGTTCACTATAAAACGGCGTTTCACTTTTCAAATTGTTGCCACCAAATATTAGAACCCTGAATAGTTAAAGAAATTAAATAATGAAGAATCTAGATTAATGTATTTATATTAATCGCATGATGAAAAAACAACGGTACCTAGAGACATCAAATTTTGAATAACGTAGTCCTTCCCTCGAATATGAGCATCTGAAGCCCAAATGAAAAGCCCAAATTTGGAATTTGTTTTAATATCTATTTCATATTTTGTAAATCTCTTTTTATTTAACGAATTTTTGATTAACAAACCCAATGATCTCAAAGCGAGCAACGGCAACACGTACAGGGGAAAAAAATGTTATCTCCAGCGCTTTAGACTGTGTATCGGATCAGAAATTCTAAAGACATGCTCTTTTAAATATTTTGTGGTATTGCTGTTGTGCGAAGAACGTATTTAATAAATAAAAGTAACACACAAAAACGTTCAAAAACGCCCCTTTGGGAGCAATATAAAATCTGAAAGATGTTTTTTTTTTTTTTTTTTTTTTTTTTTTTTTTTTTTTTTTTTTTTTTTTTTTTACATTATTTAAAAATGTGTACCTATAACTAAAATATTCCTGTTTAATCACTTCACCGTCCTACGAAATTGTAGGGCGGTGAAGTTGTTAACGTTTTTCTTTGCACCTTCTTTGCACCAAGACAAACTTTTGCACCTAAATGTGGCTAAGAAATATTTCTTCCCTCCCTTTCACTAGCTGCCAAAACCTACTTAGAAAATCGCCTATTTGTCTCCCTAGCCTAGAGAGAAATTTCTGTGTTCCTTAGTTTTTTTATCTGAAAATTAACAAAGACGATCCCGTAAAAGCATATTGTTAAATGAGAAGTAGTTCTCTTGCTGTACTAGTTGAAGAGAAGCCGGAAATACATTTCTATTTCCCTTCTTTGTAAGTGAAATTACCCCAGATACAGCTCCGCTGTGGAGGGAGCATGACCATTAAGACATCACTCATCTCTTTTCATTTTCGACTCATTCTGGTGGGTTGATAAAACACGAAGCAAAAGCTCTCTTTCAGGAGTAACCGTTAAGGCCACGTATAACTCCGACGAGTGTCTGCCTTTGCTAACAGCCGAGCACACATTTCATATCAACGAGTCGGTCTCGGGTCAAGCGATGAAGTGGTTAAACACAAGTCAGCATTCTCTAGAATTTGCATATATTTTGTTACAGAACATTTGAGTAAATAAAACAAAGATTTTACTAAGCTCATTGTATAAGGTTTGCCTTAGTTCAGTTAACCGATTATTCGAAATTTTGTCATCTTTCCTGAACTTCTCAACTTCCCCTCTCATTTCTTTGCCAGGTTGCTAATTTAAAGTTAAGTGAAATGTAATAAGTAAATAATTTAAAGTTAGGTATTTAAACGGGTGAATCTTGGGGTTTATTTAGAGCATGTTTTCTCTAGCCAGAGCACGTTTCGTTTCTGACGTTGTTAATACGAGGAACTGTTGATACCCCTTTTGGCCATTTGAATAATTATCATGCCTGTTAGAATGACGAGTCAACCTAGTAAGCCGTAACTAAAGTGCTAGTCCAACACTACTCTTTTTAGGCTTGGATTAATTTGTGTAGCAACGCACGTTCCACCGCAAGTTGCCGGTGTTAATGTAAAACACGGAGTACATGCCTTTCTGTTCATATTTGAAAATAATAAAGGGTATCTTCACCCTTCTTCTGTGCTGGTATTATTTAACTCCTGCGCGAGAAGTCTGGGGGTTCATTAGTAGGATCTAGACTATTTTATGTGGCCAAGGAAAGTTAGATCCTATAATTGAAACGGAAAACGGAGATATTTTAATGCATCTGTTCTTGATGGAAAACAATTTTAATTGTTGCCTGCATTCAGAAGTTTGAATGGACTTTTAAGGCATGTTTACTATTAAAACAAAACTTATCTACTAAAATTGTAGTTCACTTTGTCAGGACTACTGTATACCAAAAATAACTTCAGTCTGCTAGGAATCGCCTTTCTTCAAAAACCTAAAGCTATGTTAAATATTAATAATAGAACTTTTAATTAAATAATAGAACTTTTCTGATCAACTTCAAAATGTAGCTTTGTGAAAACCCATCAATCCAAAAGACTGGAAGAAATCCCAATTCTTATAAATAATTGTCAACTACGAGAAAATGAAGGACAACATTTAACTACATTCCAACGGCTTGAAACGGATACTTTTTTTAACAAATATCAAACTGTCTTCTTGATAGTCAATAGAGAGAGAAACCACTACATTCATTGAATATCATATTAACACATGAAACAGCTCCCTATTTCAGTTCCTCCATATCAGATGAGCCCAGGTAAGAAAGAACTGCTGACTGTCTGCTAAACAAGATATGATAGAAGAGTGTGAAAGTCCCTGTGCCTGTCCTGTGGTTTTGATTCCCACGTCGGGAGGAGTGCGGCAATGCATTGATTATCGCATCTTGAGTGCTCAAACTGTTCCAGACACTTATCCTTTGCCCGAATAGACGATTTATTGAATGAAGTAAAGCCTACACCTTATATATCAACTATTGACTTGAGCTCAGCTTAATATCAGGTGAAAGTAGTTGAAGAAGATCAAAACAAGACTGCTTTTATTTTTCCTGTGATACTTATAAATTTATCCGAATGCCTATCAGATTGAGAAATGTTCCAACCACCTTTTCTAGACTGATAGATAAGTTCCATTCCTGCCTGAATAACGCGTTT